TTTTTTGACCTGATACATTTTATATTCTTTGTTAATGAAACAAAAGCTCATTTATTAGGTCTAATAAAGAATATATTTTTACAGAAAATCTAAACTATATTTAATAATGAATATCACTATTAATTTAATAACCTTTAGAGTCATTAGTATTTAATAGTAACTAATATTTAATTAAATTTTTTCTTATATTGCTATTTTTGTGTGTTCTAAAAAAAAAAAATTAAAAACTGAATTATGCCCTTTTAATGTTTTGAGTCTAGAGTTATTATTGTCTAAGCATAAAATATTACTATATAGCATAAGTATTGTAATTTCATTTACAAATTCTTTTTTTTTTAGTAAAAATATTTAGGACTTTTTTAGAAAGAAAAAATGTATAAAATTTAATAAATATAGTTGTCAAATTTTAGTATCTTTTTTCATAAATGGGATAATTATTGCTAATGATACGCAGTAAAAAAATTTCTATGAAAATGTTCTCACTTTTTTTTTTTGTAATAAGACATTGTCATATTGTAATAATAATTGTCATAAGAAATACTAAGATGAAATCAAAAAATATATGGAATAATAGCACTACAGGCTAAGTGATAATAAGGTACGGACTAACTATCTAATAATAAGCATCATAATAGTATATATATTTTATATTTTTATTTGTTTTTGTATTCGTGAACGTTCAATCTCAGCTGTCGCTGTTTTTACTTTTTTTATTATAAAAAAAAGTTATGTTATAATTTAATTTAATTATTATAATTGATTTCTGATTATGTTAAAATAAAATGCAATTTTCAATTAAATTGAATAGGTAAATCAGAAAGGATAATTAATAACTATAATTAATCTCTTTTTTTTCAAATTACTCTTGAAATTTGATATTGTGATTTTGTTTTATTTACATACTTTCAATCAAATTGATAAAGTTGAGCCTATTTAAAAAAAAATTAAATATGAGTTTTATAATGATTTTACAAAAAATGAACCAGCAAATATATATAATTTTTAAAATTAATTCACAAATAAAAAATTACAGCCTTTAAATAAAAGATTTAATAATATTTTTTCAGATTCAAGTTTTTTTTTTTGTGATGAGAAACTGAAATAATTCGTATAAACCGAACATTTTTATAAAGGGTTCACGTTTTCATAAAAATCTACATAAACTACCAAAGAATTAAATTAAACTTATCAAAATATGCAAACCCATGTTTCTTATGAAACAATAGTTTAATTATTAATCCATTAATTTATTAGTTTTCATTTAAATAAAAGACACGACAGTTTTTTAGTTTGAAACAAGTATATTTTTGCTTAAGCCATGAGCAAAATAAACAAATTCATATATATATTTGACCAAATATCTCAAAATTAGTCATAAAAAATATGATATAGATAATATTTTTACGTATTGTAAAAGTTATGTCAAAGCAGCTTAATTTTTAATTAAACACTAATATTTATTACGAAAATATAGTAGTGTATGCATGTTCTTATTCTTATGTCATATTTATTTGTATATTTACAGATTATATAATCACATTCTTCTTTTCAACGTAATAGTAAATAAATGTTTGTGTACTTTTGTATTATAATCTAATTCGACATTTATTCTAGTCGTGTTAAGCTTTATTTTGTGTAATATCACCATCAAATCCATTTTTAAAATTAAAAAAAATAATAGTCATAATTCATTTAACTCAATTCAAATCTATAACATAATATATATTTATAAAATATATTGATAATGAGCTATTTATCCCTCTCATTAAGCAAGCTTATGATGAGAAAGGAGCCCATGGGGACGAATTTGTTTGAATCTCTGCAAAAAGAATTTTTTTGTAGTTTTAGTTTTTTTGGAAATGCTCCTTTTTATTGTATTAACAAATTAGAAAACATCTCAAAAACTATACGTGATAGGAAAATTCTAATTGTAAATATTTGAAATCAGCACAAAAAATGGTTTAAAATCATATAGTTTCATTAATGTTTCAAAATAAGGTACAATATTATTGACCAGTGTAACAGACTAAGGTTAGGAAATCTAACTCATACTTCCAAAGATCATTATATAAAAATTAAATATATGAAAAGAATAATTACATTTTATGATTTTTAAAGACATAATTTTAACTTCATATGAGTTAAATACTCCACAATTACTCATAATTGATTTTATGGGTATAGTAGATATAGAGTTACTATAGGGTAAAGTAAATTAAATTCGTGATAATTGTACAAAATGTCCATTATACATTTTAGTAAAATAATTTAATTTAAATAATTGTTTGATAAACATAGTGTAAAGGTATTGAAATATATACAAATTTTAGAATTTATAACCTTTGATTTATTTTTATTGTAGTTCAAAGTCATCACAAAATGTAAGTAATTATGTGATAAGGGATAAAATTTGAGATAGTGGTGAGGTATTTTCGTAATTAACTCCAGTTGATTTTTCTGCTTTAAAGTAGAATTTTTTTGTTCATTTACCGGTTATGATAGGTAAACTTAACTTTTAAAAATGTTCCGGAAACAATCCGAGCTTTAAACATATGTTAAATTAAAACTTATATAAAAACTATATGTTAAACAAAATATTGTCCCATTGACTTTTCTTTTATATGTAAACAACACCCAAAGTTAAAAAATATGTTATTTTAATATAAAAATTCATTGTTTTTCGTATTATGATTTATAATACGTTATAATTTTTGCACTAATTTATTTGTTCAATTATTATGCTTGATTTTAGGGCAAACGGTATAAATGGAAATATTTATCCCAAATAGCCTTCTCTTAAATATATATATATATATATTAATAAGCTCTAAGTTTTAGTTATAAATATTTTAGAGTTTTTAATGTCAATCCAATAAGTATATTATAAGGACGGCGTTGCTCTTCCTTTTAATTGTTATTATTTAAACAATTATAAGGAGTTTCCTTTAAAATCAATATGGGATAAGATGAATAATTGTGTCTCTTGCCCCAAAAAATATTTCATTGGATATACTTAATATATTCTTTATACAATCTTATATTTTTATAATATTCATAGGTGTATCAATACATAATATCCCCAGTACAGTCAAAAACTATGTAAAAACAACAACTAGAGCCTCGAGATGATATGCAAAGGACCATAAAGAATTATTTAATTAAAAAAACTATTGTAAAGAAATTGCAGTGAATTTTAAAATACCAGGGGCCACTTTAAGACGATATTTGAAAAAAAAAACAAATCTACAAGAATTAATTATTATTTTACTCATTAACACTAAAACTATATAGTTAGGAAATAGTAAAAATATTAATTGGATATTAATGCTTATAAGTATTTATCAACTATAAATATTTAATTCACATTATAACAATACCACTATTTAACAGTTAACTTTTAATTATGTTTATTGTATAGTTAATTTATTATAATTAATTTATATGGACTAACTATTCACGTTGTAAGTTTCCAAAATATATTTTCTGTCAATCAATTAAAGATATTATGTCGTCTAAATAGATCGCCTAGCATGTGGCTTAACTAAAATACATAATCAAAAACTATGTATGATTTTGCAGAAAAAAAAAAGCATTCTTCATAATTTTAATAATAATACCGAAATAGCAGGAGAAGATAGATTAACTAATTTCATGAAAAAAAACTAAATTAAGTTTTAGGTTTTCTGGTTTTAGGAAATCAGAAGCCACGTTAATTAGAAGAGTGTTAACTTTGCAAAACCTAGCAAAGAAAATGAAATCCTATTGATTCTTGTTAAACATGAATCGCACTATTCATTAAAAGCAATAACTTACTGTAGAAATTATTTGATTATTATGTTAAGGTTTCCATCTCATACCACTCAAGGCCTTCAACCATTGGATATTTCAATTTTTGGCCCTATAAAAACTTTTTATAGTCAAGCCTATGAACGTTTCATAGTAAATAATTATGACCAAGTTACTTCTGACATCAAAATTGCATCATTATTTGGGGAAGCCTATATAAAAGTGGCCAACACACAAAATACAATTAATGGTTTTAAAGCTTATGGTATAAAACTATTTAGCCTCAATGTATTTCAAAACAATTATTCAATGTATTTCAAATTATGACACGCTCACACTGTGCCACGACTCCACTGTGCTACCATTTTTCTTCTTAAAACTGCCATAATTTTTTGAAAAATGAACGAATAACTATAATTTTTGTTTATATTGAAGCCTTCAGTATTTTCCTATCATGTGATATATTTTTGTGAACATTTGACCCTTTACCTGCCCACAGGTTGTGATTCAAAATAGTAACTACTGCACAAAAAGTAGAACTTTTTCACTATAACTTTTTGAAAAATGTATGGACCAATAGTTAGTTTAAATTAATACATTTTTTTTTCAAAAATACTTTATGTATACTTCTTTCATTTGACATATTTTTTTTTAAATCGGACTACTTTCCTTTATATAGGTTCAATTTTTTTTAATGATACATTGAATAATCACAAATCATATCTAGTTAAAGACATTACATTTAATTATATATATTTTTTCAAAAATATAACCCCTTACCTGTCTAGAAAGAGTTTTTAAAAAAGAAAATTTTTATAAAAAGTTAACTAGGTCAGCCTAATTTAAAAAAATAATCGGTCCAGTGTGAGCTGAGAAAAAATATATACAGACACAAAAAAAAAATAATAAACACATCATAGTAAAATTAACACCTTCTTAGTTTCGCATCGAAGCTGAAATTTTTTAAAAATTTAGGCATTTTTAAATACAATTTAAAATAATGCTTATGTGATCTACTTTATTTTGAAAAAAAAAATGATCTCTGATGGAAATATCCATATTAATTATTACCAATGATCCATGATAAATTACAATTTCATTACAGAGATTAAATTAATTATCAAAGATAAAAAATTTTTTTTACGATTCGTTTATATTAACAACAATAATAAATTATTGTACATCAATTTCATACTAAATTTAATTACTATAATATGATTTTTTCATGTATATTATAAATTAATAAATTACTTATTGTGTAATATTATATTAATATTATTATAATTTTAAGTCATAGAAAGTAAGAAAGAACAATTTAAAATATGACAGAAGAGCAAAAGGAGAGAAGATTGGATGAGGTATGATGATTTGTATGATAGGCTAGGAATAAAGGAAGGTGAGAAAAAAATCATTAGACTTGCAAAAGTAAGAGAGAAAAGGACTAAAGATTATCATTATATAAGGTGTATAAAAAGTGTTGATAATAAGGTACTCTCGAGTGATGATGATGTGAAAAAAAGGTGGAAAGAGTATTTTGAAAAATTATTGAATGAGGAGTACCCAAAAGAGACATTAGAGGATATCTCGTGGAATGAGGGACTGGTAGATTTAATTAGTGAGAAAGAGGTATGGAAGGCTGTGGAATCAATGAAAAATAATAAAGCAGTAGAACCAGATGAAGTGCCAGTAGAAGTATGGAAAATATTAGGCGGTGTTGGCATAAGGTGGTTGAAGGAACTTTTAAATAAAATATTATTAGAAGGGAAGATACCAAATTAATGGAGGAATAGTATTTAAAGGTAAAGGAGACATACAGGAGTGTGGAAATTATAGAGGTATTAAACTTAAGAGTCATAGTATGAAAATTTGGGAAAAGGTAAAAGGTAAGTAAAATAAAAAGACCAGTGACAATAGGCGAGGACGTGAATGGAGAGGTGGAAAGTTTTAAATATTTAGGATCAGTTGTGTAAAATGCGGGGTTATTGACACAGAATTAAGTGCAGGTGATTGAAATGGAGAGAAACACCTGGTTGGTGTCTTATGCAATAAAATAATTCCAATGAGGCTAAAAGGTAAATTCTACAAGACTGTAATAAGGCCAGCTATGATGTATGGTTCAGAGTTTTGGGCAATTGACAAGAAAGTAGAGTAGAGAATGAGAATAGTAGAGAATGAGAATAGTAGAGATGAGAATGCTTAGATGGATGAGTGGAGTGACTAGAGAAGATAGGATAAGGAACGAGCATATAAGAGGGAGTATAGGTGTAGTCGTGTTGGGTTGGGTGTAATCGTGGATAAGATGAGAGAAAATAGACTTTGATGGTTTGGTCATGTTATGAGGAAAGAAGAATCGAAAGGTGTAAGAACAGTTATAGAAATGAATGTTGAAGGAAGAAGGGGTAGAGGAAGACCAAAAAAGAGATGGAGGGATTCTATTGAATGCCATATGAGGATAGCTGATGTTAGCGTAGATGATGTGGGAGATCTTGTTAGGTAAAAGTTTAGGATAAGGGTGGCCGACACGAGTAATTGGGATTAAGGCGAGGAAAAAGAAGAAGAAGGAGAAATCATAAATTATCATTTTATACTTGTCCCACTATACCACTATTCATTTTGTCGGGTTTTTAAAAAATAGTAATTTGAAAGGATTTGATAAATATATTTTAACATTAATTACGTTTTTTATAATTAATAAATAGTTGTATCATTAGTTAAATTACCAAAACGTTACGTCACTTAATGTTGACCAATGGATTTCAACTTAAAATTTATTTGAGTTTGTCAGCATAACAACTTATACTACTTCATAAAATTGTATTTTTAACAAATTTTTTTCATATAATTTTTATGTAAAAATTTAAATTATAGTATATTAAAATTAAAATTTATATTTTTATCATTCATATTGATGCTATACCTACAGAATCATGTAATTTTTTTAAAAGTGTTTCCAAATCCATAGCGTTTTTCTTACATTGATTAGCCATTTGACCTTCTGGCATTTCTTTGGGTTCGTGTTTTAACATATTTTCTGCTTGTTCTAGATAGTATTTTGATCTCTAATAATAAATAAAACCATTACATTAGTCCAATTTCGTTAATATAATATTTCATTTAACAATTAGATTAAATACACTGGTCAAAAATATAATTGCTATTATATTATAATATTTAAAATCATCGTTATCTCTTTAGCCTTTATTCTAACTGTTTAGAGTCGACTTTATCTTATAATGATTTGACAAGATTTAACTACATATTATTTTAGTTTTTTTTCAATTAAACAATATTTTTCTTTACAAAATTTAATAATTTTCAACAGTTTCCTAGAAAATAAGTGTCTTAACATTAATTAATCGCTCTATAAATATATATATATATTTAAGTATATAAACTTAAATTTTAGGTCAATCAGACAATTTTAACCCGTGTCTATTCGGGGTTGAAAATAGTACTTGCAGAAATAAACATAAAATGTAAATTGTAGATATGTTTTTTATAGATTAAGAAGGGGAGAAGAAGTAAGATGACAAATTTAGTTTTTTTCGAAATCAATCAACATATAAACACATCTTTAGAAGCATAAAAACCTTATACGGTATATTTTGTTACTTACAAATATTAACAAACGTATATGCACATTAATTTTAATTAGAAATTCATATTTAGTGTGTTTTTGTGTAATTTTTGTATATCAAAACTTTCGGTATTAGTATGCTAAAGAAAATGTTTCAAATTTGTCTCTTAAATATTCTAAAAGTATTACTTAATATTTATTAATTTGTGAAGACCCATTACTTTCATAATAGTTTTATTTACAAAATTGTATAATCGATATCATCATCTTACCCCATAGCTAGGGAAAGATAACAAAAATAACAATTTCCAGGAAAACTCATATCTCATAACGTAGAAGTTGAAAGAGACTATTGAAAAACTTTGTAGTGTTAGGCTAGATATTGAAGTAATTCTCATGGTAATTTAAAATTTTATATCCATTCACAGAATCAGGAAATATTATAGAAGGTTAATCTCACCATCTTTTCACGCCTTTCCATACTTATAACATTTATTATGAATTCGTTAGTTTATGTGAAAAAATATAGAATACACAAAATTTTGTTGATTTTTCAAAATAGAAATATTTACAAATTATTTATTAATATATTTGACGAATTCTTAGAGTTACAAACAGATATTTCATATAAAAAACGATTATAATTTAACTTTCTAAAAAAAATTTAGTTAATAATTATTTTATAAGTTTAACTATTTATGAAATATATTAACCAAAATGTAAAAAAAAATACATTGGAATATTTTTTATTATACACCATGATTTATTACCTAATTTTACGCTGATGTGTACTATTGCATTATCGATCATGTGTTTTCTTAGATAGATTATTTTATAGTTTGCAAGTTGGTTAAACATATATGTTTACATGAAAAAAATTAAATTGATAATATTTTAAAAGAGAAAGGAAGAGATAAAACCAACTAAGAGTCTTTACTTTCCTTCAAATAAATAATAATTCGCGTATTTTCATTTTAAAAATTGACCTAATTTTGTGTATTCTGTAACTTTTTAGATAAATTAATAAATTTATCAAAAAAAGTTGTAAGTATTTAATTTATAAAAAAACATTTATATTTACAATTCACATTCTATGTTTATTTTTTTGCGAGCAATATATCACATTGTATACAAATAACCAAAAACAACCCTTATTGTGTAATTTTCAACTCTAAAAAAAGTCTGGTTAAAATATCGAAGGAAGTTTCTAAGCGTCGTCATGAAAAAAACGATTGAATAATGTTACGCAATCAAGTTTTGTTTTCGGCTGGGAAAAATCGCTACTGAGACAATCTCAATGCTTCTGACGGCTTTCCCGGATAATTGTCTGTCCAGTTCTCAAATTTAGAAGTAGCATAAGGCGTTCAAGGAGGGCAGAGAGGACGTCGCCGACGAACCAAGGTCAGGGCGCCCGTCAACTTCGCGGACAGACGCCAATGTGAAACGTGTGCGCAATTGCTTGAACACCAACCGTCGGCTCAGTGTATACCAAGTGTCAGAACCCTTAAACTTGCCAAAATCAACAGTACATCGCATAGTGACTGAGGCATTGGCCATGCGCAAGGTGTGCGCCAAGCTTGTACCTCGAATATTGACTGACGAACAAAAAGCGATTCGAGTGTTCCGATCCCAAGAATTCCTTGACTTGTGTGAAGACAATCCAAACTTCGTGGACCACGTGATCACTGGTGACGAAACGTGGTATTTTGAGTATGACTCTGAATCGAAGTGACAAAGTTCTAAGTGGCACACGTCCTCGTCACCACACCCCAAAAAGGCGCGCATGAGCAAGTCGAAAACCAAGACCATGCTCATTGTCTTCTTTGGGGTGCAGGGCATGGTGCACCATGAGTTTATCCCACCAAGACAGACTGTGAATGCAGTGTTCTACAAGGCTGTGTTGGAGAGACTGAGGCTTAGGATTCACTGCCTGCGGAGGGAAAGGAAGTGGCCGATTCGGGAAGACTGGAGGCTCAATCACGATAATGCGCCCTCTCACACCGCGTTCATTGAGAACGAATTTCTGGCCAAAAAGCACATCACCGTGGTTTACCAGTCTTTCTATAGTCCCAATCTGTCTCCCCCGGATTTCTTTTTATTTCCAAAAATGAAAACAGCCCTGAAAGCACATCACTGGCAGTCCATTGAAGACATCCAAGTTACGGAAGATGCCTACCGGGGAGCGTTTGAGGCATGGAAAAACCGCCTCCAGCGGTGTATTGACGCGGGAGGAGAGTATTTCAAAGAATTTTGATGGCTTGTAGCGTTATAACAAATAAAAGTGTGATTCTGGTAATGAACAAAGGCTCATTACTTTTGGGATGAACCCTGTATATATATATATATATATTGAGGAGGTGTTCTGAATTTCATTAATAAGGACCATCCTAGTGTCACTGTTAAAATTCCTGGATGGGTGACCTAAACCGCAAACAGCACAGCTAAACATCAATGTTTATGCGGCTGTTGAATGATCCACTGAGCCACACCTTGCTCATAATATAATATTTAAAATATTAAATAAAAATAACAAATACTGAAATACTAACAAATCTAAAACGGTAATTTTCATTCTACTTCTTGTTCGTATTTGAGTTAAATGATGGATAAAAATATTAATGTTGTATGAAAACCATAGAATGAAAGTTTTTATTACTTCATAAAATATTAACTTGCCTGAACAAGAGCTAAGTATTATTATTATTTTCTATTTTTAATACATATATATTTTTTAATATCAGCCACAAAGGATAATAATTTTTATTAATTTAAAATTTAGTAAAAAGTTTAGTTTTATTCCTTCATTGGTGACTATAGAATTACATTTTGATAACTCAGAAAAAAAATGGCTCAATTTGAAAACATTAGTTTCAAAATTTTAACTTCTGGTTCAAATTTAGTAGTATAATTAAAAAAAAAAATCTTACTAAAAGAGCTTCAATTAAAGAATTAGTATCATGATTTGAGCGTCTTGCTTCTTCAGCCATAACAGAATGCATTTCAAACATTAATGAGCCGCGTAATCGATTTTCAGCTAATTGAAATATTATTAAATTTGTAATTTTATTTATGTACTTTTAAAATCATAGTACTAAGTAAAAATGTACCTGGAAACAAAATATCGGCTATTTTTAATATTTTAAGACAGAGCTCTCTTTTATTGACTAATTGTTCCTGAGATAATTTATCTAATGGTTGACCTTCAATTTGACCGTATAGTTGAGCCAAATTAAGACGTATATCAATGAAATAATAATGATTTGGATGTAAATCACCAGCTGACACGTAATGATCCAAAAACTTTCGACAATGTTCTGGATCTCTACGGTTCATAGCAGCCATATCTTTACCTATGTGAGCTAAACAACGTTCTACTTGTTCAGGATCTGCTGTTGTTGTACAAAAATTACAAATCCAAGTCACGTTAAATGGGTCCGTACTCGATAGAGTGACATTAGGTAATGCGTATCCCATGCAATCTCTAAATGAAAAAATACACTTTACCTGCGTTACAAATAATTTTTAATCTCTTACTCAAATGTACATTTTACTCCACTATAATATGTTCCCAACTCTGTGGGATCAGAGCACCTCGAACATTTGCAAACAAAATACTTAGTATCTGCTAAATGAGCTAATCGTTGCGGTGTTCCCCATAAAGGATCAGTATAACAAATAGACAAGTTTTGTTTATATTTTATTGCTGTACCAGCGGTTCTAATAAGTAAATGTCCATCAGATGTAAAAGTTTTAGAACAATTTGGTATACAGCTGTGTTCCAACATAGACCCTATGTCATAAATAGCAACATATGCAGGATCTGTTAATGGTACTTCGTGACCATTGACTTGAACAATGCCGCAAACCTTAAGTATTTCATCAATAGGATATTCTTCTGGGTTCAATTTAAAAAATCTATACAAGTAATCCGCAATCCAGATTTTGTCCGCCTCATACTTAGGCCCACCTCGTCTATTAGCACAATGTGATTCCAATGAAATCAATTTAGTCCAAATTTCAGGGTTATTTTGTTTTTGGTATAAACATCTTATGACTATAATTGATTGATAACTCGGATGAGGTATGTCAAAATTTTTAATTTTCACCTTTAAAAATGACAATTTGCATTAAATAATTTATCAACTAGTTACAATACTTCAAATAATTATATACTTTACTTTAAGTTTCCTTTGATTGGCTGTCCAATCACATTCTGCTCTGTGCCATTCATCCTCCAAGCACTTGAGATCTTCACACATAGGCCAACCACATTTAGAACATTCTGTTGCTGTATTTATATTTAGGGATTTTAAACAACCCAAACAAACAGGACTAGTAATTTGTGCGGGCCCTCTAATTAGTGGTTGTTCAATTAGCACTATTTGCCCTTCAGTTAAATCTAAATTAGCTACAACGTGCCTGCCTAATCCAGGTTTTTCACAAATCTAAAATCATAATATTAATTTTAAAACATAAGCAATTTTTTTTATTAATTTGGGCAATAGAAATTAAATGTAATTATAATAAAATGAAAATTGTATTTTTTTTAATTACTAGTGAATACTTATTAACAAAGATAGTGTGTTAATTAACAATAAATAGTTTTATAAATGTTAAATAAAATTAATATTACTTTTATTATTTGCTTCACCATTTTCTCATTCACGTTGATGTGAAATAATTTCGTAACTAAAACAGTCTAATAACTTTACTCTTTCTAGTGGAATCTATAAATAAAGTTAGTTCAACAATTACATTGGTGGGAGACTGTAATTCAAAAATAGCTATAACACAGTGGCAGGTCATCTCAGATCTTTTAAACAGCACGATATTTTTAGTGAACCACTTTACGATTATACCAAATTTTTCGTATTAGTGACAATAGCATGGACTGATTAACAAAAATTGTTTATATGATTTGGATAGAATTAACACCAAGATTGTTGATATCTAATATTGTTGTATCAAATACAACTGGGGCAGCTACTCTTAATTGACACGTATGACCCAATTTGTTCATAATTTAGATAGTAACATAAAACATATACCATATACGCAAGAAATAAGGCAGTAACTCAAAATGTTCGATTTTTAGAATATAAAGTATTTGAATTTAAGGTATTACTCTTCTTTTAATAACTTTCATAAAAATATGAAGAATTTAGCTCGCATTGGAATTAAACTATTTAGAAAATTTATATACATATAGGATGTAATCTTGTATTTTATTTTTAATTTCTTGGAAGGTGAGAAAAAGTGAGTTACTGCCAGTGGCTAAAGTGAGGGTGAATGGAGTCCTCCTTTTTAATTAGATTACAGTCTAGCGTTTCCTTCAAGTCGAATCCCAAAATACCGGTGGAGGCGCTTTAATTTTAAGCACTAAAGAATGGAAAGCGTGTTATCATTGGTAATTTATATAAGATAAGAATATTATCAACAAAATATAACATACAATTACGACGAGATTACCAGTATCGAGTTAATCTTTTGGCATTACGCTGCATTTTCGTGATTATGAAAGTCAGGGGATGAGATCACACACCCTGCCCCCCTATTAGATGGCCCTACTATAACAGTGCCCACCTGTTAATATTTATCATCTAATTTATGAAAAAATATTTCATTTAATCTTTTATAAATTCGATTGTTAACAAAATAATAAAAATAAGTGAAATACTTGTTTTTTTAATATTTAATTATAATTAATTAATTATCGTTCTCTTAAGTATTAAAAAAACTTAAATATCGTAAAGGGTTCTTGAAAACTAACGCCTTCAGCAACGGTTACATATTTAGACTGAATCTAGAGAGTTTTAAGATTATTATTATTAGCGATTTAAAGGCTAGTATTTATTTAATAACTGTTTCTTTTGTTACCTACACAAAACTAGCAAAAAAAAAACGGTAGCACAGTGGGGTCCAGTGCATTTTTTTATAGTAACTAACAGTTTTTATTGATAATTATTGTATCAAGCCCTTTAAATTTTTATGCACGTAAAAGTAAAGCAAAATATAACTTCTTTATTATTTTTATAATTTCTCCGTTTAAATTACAATATTAAATATCAATTTCATACTAAATTTAATAATTATAATTAGTATATATTCAAATATTATATTTTAAAATCAAAGAACTACTAATCATGATATAATTAAAGAAATAAGAGTTGATGTTGCTTTTGGAATAATCCACCAATTGCCTAATTAAAACAAAAAAAAAAAAAGTTTGTTGGGAATTTTTTCTGCTATTCTGCAAAATTACTCCTTCGTTGACTAGAATGAATCATTAAATAGAAAATTTTATGAGAATTAAAACAATGTTATTTTTAAGATTAATATGCAGTCAGAAAGTTTTATAATTATTATTTATTGTAAATTTATCAGAAAAACTCATTATTTTTTGCATTTTTATCGTAATAGAACACTTAAATAGAAATCATAGTAATCATTTCTAAGTAATTTTTGATATTTAAAAAGATTCTACTATTGAAATATCCAGAACTGAATTAATTTTAATGATTTACTTTAACTAAAAAAAAAAAAGTTAATATTTTGAATCCCTCTTGTGGGCAGGTAAAGGGTTAGATTTATAAAAAAAACCAAATGATAGATAAAGACATGCATCTAAATAAAAAAAAATATACTGATTTGGTCATTTTTGATAAAGTTATAACAATTAACAAAGTTATAAGTTTTATACACTGGACTACAAGGAACTTCCATCAGAAACAAAAATATACTATTCTAAATCAACTTTTCGCGATGTTTTAAAATGTGCAATTAGACTTTTTCTATAACTTCTAAGTTTTAATATTATTAAAAAATAGTTTTTACATATAAAAAAAAATAATTAAGAACAAAAAAAATTGTTTTAAATTAATACTGATTTGATATAATATTTAATATTAATTTGATTATTAATAAGTTAAAAATAAGGAAAATGACATATTTAACCTATTTTGTTAATCGTTTAAAGTTGATTGTTGTAAATGTTTATAAAAAAAAAAAAAAATTTATTTTACCATAACTTTTAGCTCAATTGGTAAGTTTGACATTGACATAATTAAATAGAAAATTTTATGACAATTAAAAAAATTGTATCGTTAAGATCAATATGCAGTCAGAAAGTTTTATAATTACTATTTATTGTAAATTTATCAGAAAAGCTCAATATTTTTTTGCATTTTTATGGTAATAGATAACTTAAATAGAAGTAATAGTAATAATTTCCTAGTAACTTTTGTTGTTTGAAAAGATTCTACAATTGAAATATTGAGAACTTAATTAATTTTAATGATTTACTTTAACTAATTGAACCAATCAAAACAAAGTTGTTAAAAAGATCTACTCAATAGCGTACTATAAAATTTGATTATAATTGTAAAAATCCATTATTAATTCAGGAGAAACTAGCAATCATTTTTTTTAGAAATGATTTATATAGTAACATGTTACAAAAAAAATTGTAATATTATAGTCTAGTAGTAGCACACTCAAATACAGTAAAAAATTTATTAAATGACAAAGTAAAATGATTTAATTTTGTAGTTGAAACCTATTATATCAAACTTCATTCGTTAATAAATATTTTGTAAACATTATACATTATTGATTTTAATTGTCTTTATGGAGAACATGTAATAACTAACAGTTTAATTGATAAATTAGAATTTTTTTTTCAATTTTTGAGGGTAATATCTTCAACTAGATACGAATTGTAATCATTTGACGTATCGTTGAAAAAAGTAGGTCAAGTTAGAGCAGAGAAAATAAATGATAGTCACAAAAAAATATCTTCTCAGCTTTGCATCGAAGCTAAAACTTAAAATATAGTAAAATAATTTTAATACGAATAAGAAATTTCTTCTTACAAGGGGCGACTAAAGTGATGGGATCCTTGATCTTTTTTGAAGTTATTGAATCTAAATGAGATAAAAATCAAACAAGTTAAAAATTTATACTAACTTAAAAAGAATTAAGAAAAATGTAAAAAATTCATTGCCATACGCAGGTTGGAACCTCGTACCCCAAGCGTGTAAAACATAAATTTTACCAACTCGGCAACCGTATGTTGTTATAGTCGAATGAAAAAATTAGCTATTTAAGCTCAATCAAATTTCAAAGTTATTTTTCTCGACTTAAAAGAAGCAAACAAATTTAAATAAGTTTATCTTTCTATGCTATATTAATTTTAATTTATATAATATATATGAAAATCTGTACTCCCATTAAAAAATTGAAGAAATGTCGAAAATTAGCGATTTTTAAATTTGTAAATTTTTGGGGGATTTCCCCCGTTCACGGGAACGAGGGAATTTTTTTCAATTTTTGAGGGTAATGTCTTCGACTAGATAAGATTTGGAATCTTTTGACATATTGTTCATCAAAATCGGTACAGCGAGAGCTGAGATTGAGCGTTCACAGACACAAAAAAAAAATTTTAAAAAAAACCCAGCACAGTGAGGTCGCGGCATAGTGGGGATGTTGCATAGTTGGGTCCAGTATAGATTTAATCTGACAGTGATTAAAATCACTATCATAAGAAACGCTTCGATGCAAATCAGTAGATAGTGTTTAATTCTAAGAAATTGGTGGATAATTACAAAAGCTACATTATCTGCTAGTTTCTTATTAATACCCTGATTAAGATAAAGTATGTCGAATGAAAAAGGGATTATTAAAAAATATTATTTCTCATAAAAAAATTGTGTTGATTCGTACACTTTTCAATGAGTTATAGCATTATAAGGTTAAAAATGTAACCAACCCAACCTAACATCAACTCCTATTTCCTTAATTATATCCAGATTAGTAATTATTTTAATTATATATTATATAATTTTTATAATTAATTATTTTCAAATTATTATTGATTTTTAATATGTTAAAAGTAATCATTTTGAACCTACTTCTTTTTGTTCTTTAAAGTGAAAGTTTTAATAAAAAAAAAATGAATTTATTACCATAACTTTTAACTCAACTTGCAAGTTTGAAATAAATATTATTAAATAGAAAAAAATGAAATTGGTAGATTATTTCAAAAACAACAATAACACTTATTCCCTTAATTTTACCCCGATTTATAACTATAATATATGAATACATAATAATTACAGTAATTAAATTGAGTATGAAAGTGGTATTCAATAATATAATATTGTAATTTTTACGGAGATATTATAAAAATAAAAAGGAGTTGTATATTCATATACTTTTAATGCGTATACAAATTTAAAGGAATTTATGCAATACTTTTTAATAAAAAAATTTTGTTACTTATGAATAAATACACTAAACAAAAGGAACTTTCATCAGAAAAAAAATATACTTTTCTAAATAAACTTTTCGTGATGTTTTCAAATGTGCAATTAAACTTTTTCTATTACTTCTAAGTTTTAATATTATTACTTATTATTAAAAAATAAGTATTTACATATAAAAAAAAATAATTAAGAACAAAAAAAATTGTATTAAATTAATACTGATTTTGATTTTTAATATGTTAAAGGTAATCATTTTGAACCTATTTTTTATTGTCTTTTAAAGTGAAAGTTTTAATGAAAAATACCTTCTCAGCTTCGCATCGAAGCTAAAAAATGAATTTGTTACCATAACTTATAGTTCAACTTGCAAGTTTGAAATTGACATTATTAAATTGAAAAAAATGAAATTTTTAAGATTAATATGCAATCAGGAAATTTTATAATTACTATTTACAGTACATTTATCAGACAAATTCGCTTTTTTGCATTTTTATCGTAATTNAAAAATTCGATTTTTTTACATTTTTATCGTAATAGATAACTGAAATAGAAAGAATAGTAATCATTTCCTAATAACTTTTGGTGTTTAAAAAGATTCTGCAATTGAAATATTCAGAACTTAATTAATTTTAATAATATACTTTAACTAAATGAACCATTCAAAACAAAGTATTTAAAAAGATTTACTCAATTGAGCATATTATCAAAAATATAATTATAATTGTAAAACTCCATCGTTAACTTCAGGTGAAACTAAAAATCATTTTTTTTTTAAATTTATGATTTATATAGCAACATATTACTAAAAAATTTGGCATATTATAGACTGGTAGTAGCACACAGAAATAGAGTTAAAAAATTAATAAATTATAAAGTAAAATTATTTACTTTTGTAGTTGAATACTTTTATCATATCAAATTTAATTCGACAATAAATAATTTAAGAATATTAAAAATTAATGATTTTAATTGTTTGTATGGACAAATCTAGTTAAGCTACTTTTTATTTGAATAAGGAATATTTTTTTGATTTTTAAGAGTAATAACTTAAACTAATCATTAACTTAAATATCATAAACTTAAATGAATCATTTGACGTATCCTTGAAAAAAGTAGGTCTAGTGAGGGTTGGCAAAATAAATCGTAGCCACAAAAAGAACCACATAGTAAAATAATATTAACATGAATATCAATTTCTTCTCACGAGGGGAGACTATAGTGATAAGATCCTTTATATTTATTGAAGTTATTGAATGTAAATGAGATAAATATCAAATGATTTGAAAATTTTATTCTAACTCAAAAAAAATGCAATATTTTATTGGCCACAGACGGATGATTTGAACCTCGTACCCTAGGCGTTAAAGATCAAGGTGTTACCCATTCGGCAACTATTCGTTGATTTTTGTTGCATGATAAAATTGGCTATTTAAGCTAACTCAAATTTAAAAATTACTTTTTCGACTTTAAAAAAGTAAAAAATGTTAATAAGTATAATATCATATGTCTTATGAACTTTATTCTATGTCAATGAAATTATATAATATTCATGAAAGTCAGTTTATTCCCCTAATAAAATATTTTAAAATAAAATAAAATACAAAACCTAGAATTTTAATAAAAAATAGCATATTTTTAAATACGGTAGCCTTTTGCGCATAGAAGATAGGTCGTCGGGACAAATTTTTTTTTTTCATTTAGTAGTACATAAAATAAGCTTTAATTTGATATATGTTTAAAGGACGCAGTATTTCCGGAACATTTTCAAAAATTAAGTTGAAAAAGTTAGTTTTTGTAAAAAAGTTGCTATTTTAAATCCCCCCCTATGAGCAGGTTATGTGTTAAATTTTCAAAAAAAGATATCAAATGAAAGGGAAATATCAAAGGTTTTAGTTTAAAAAAAAATTATGTTGATTTTTGAAAAAGTAATGGAAGTTTTTTGGAAGCTATTTTTTATAATAGTTTGAACAATCCATAAAGTTGACATTCTTATAAGGTATAAGAGATAAATTGAAAAAGTACTTAATAAATATATCAAGAAATATATGATGAGACTAAAAAACAACAAAAAGATAAGTCCTGAAATTATTTTTATTTTGTACGTAACTGAGTGAGTTATGATAAATGGATCACTTTGTATATTATATTTGATTGGTTTATTGATTAAGATTAAAATTAGTTATATTAAACTAAATTTACCTTGAAAGAATTATTAAGGTAACTAAACATTATTATTTCAATTTAATAATTTATTTTTGAGTACCATACTGGACAATTGAAAATATTTATGTTTTCATACATTGAATAATAATACATAAGTCAATTTTTAGTTTTTGAATTTTAGAATTCATAATTTCCAAAAAAATTTGACAATCATTCATGTAATAAGCATGGAAATTTTAGGAAAAATATTAATTAGTCTAATCTTAAAATAAAAATGTTTAAATTTTACAATTGATTATACATATACAATTAATTTAACTTAATTATTTTATGTTTCAGATGATTGTTCATTGTTTAAAAACAATCTTGCATATATATCTCCAAATTGAGATATATTTTCAATCATAGTTAAACGTAATGAATCTGAATAAGGTTTTGGTACTGAAATTGAAATTGTGTCCCTCCACATTCCGCCATTGTTGTTACGTACAAAAAGCGCTGGAGCTGGTATATGGTCTCTAGTATAAGTCCAAACACAATCTCGAAGAACAATAATAATCTAAAACATTTTAATTTTAAAATCAAAGTATTTTAATTTTTTTTTTCTTATAAATATATTTTAATAATGATTTAAGTATTACATTATACATTTTTAATAATCTTACTTGTTGAGGGGTAAGATTTTGGACTACGACACCAAGAATATCTAAAGGTTTTGGCAAAAGCTGACCAAGTGACATTGTATTTAATAACTTTACGGTATCATTCATTAAATGCTTATGGTTTTTTGCACTTCCTTTTGCATGATTAACTGCTCCCCAATGGTTTATTAAACAAGCACACACTGCACGTAAAAGTACAGAACAATAACAAAGTGCTGGTCTATGTGCAGCTAATATTCCAAGAATAGTCCATAATATTGGCTTAGTACTAATTGTATGATATATATGAACATCTCTTTCGATTGTTACCTTTAAAAAATAAAAATAAAAATAAAACTAAGGTTTTTACAATATAAAACATAAATATGCATATTTAATAACATATTACTTAATTAAATTTTGAATTATACATTATAATAATAGTAATGCTAAATAGAAAAATAACATTTATATGTTTAATATACATCTAAATTAAAGATATTTGAATACTTTGGTAAAATCTTCATCAGGCCATGGTAAACCATTATACATAACATCAGGTGATATAAATTGAACAACTAGCAATGCTAATGACACAACTGTATCCAATGTTGGTTCAAATGAATAGTTATCATCAGATGAATAACAAGATCGTAAAAATGAAACAAGTCTTTGCTCATTAAAACGAACTACTTCAGCTTTAAAAGCAGAAATTTTATACTTAGAATTTTGTTCATCTTTATCAAATTTATTACCAATACATTCACCAAAGTTTATATTATATTCCTAGTAAATAAATGAGAATAAATTAAGTTATTTATAAACAAGGAAGGTCATTTGACAACCTGTTGCAAAAAAGATTCCATTAAGGAAGTTTTTTCAGGTGGTTGAACAATGTAATCATTTCTTCGATTACTTGGCATAATAAACAATAGTGAAAAAGGTTCCTTTAATATTCCATCCAATATATATTTCATAGCTGCCGTTCTAGCAATAGACGAACGATGACTTACAGTATTTATAATCTTATTCATTTTAACACAAGCTTTGAGTTTTAAGATTTCATCTAAAAATAGATAAATGATAAAAAAAATCACTGTTAGATATCATCTCTACTTTCCCAACTATGCCACCTTCCCACAATACCAGAACCTAAATGTGCTGGGCTTTTTTAAATAAATTTTCTAGCCATTTATGAAAAAAAAAAAAAAAGTACAAATAAGAAACAAATTCTGAACATACAACGTAAATAAGTGAACACAACTTGTCATTGATAACTACATCAATTATTGTATGGGGGTAACCATACAATAATTAAACTGATATATGGAATTCAGCAAAATAAACAAAATATTGGTTTTCTAATTTATTTTTAACCACAGTTCTATTCCAATAACCATTATATGTGCCCCCACAGACAGCCAATATTGAACATTAACTGGAATTGTTACAAATAATATTTTATCAACAATTGTATAAAAACAATAAGGTAAAAAGGATGAAACGAAAAAGTACTTAATAATTAATAAATCAAATAATACATTAATATAAAAATACCAAAAAAAATATTCTTAATATGATTATTGTTTTAAGAAAAATTGAGGTCTAACGTTACAAGTATCACTTTGTAAAAATATTTGGAAAAATCTTCTTAAATTTTACATTTTAATATGAATTTTTAAATCTTAGGTTAACCCTTATAAATGTTAAGATAGAGATAGAACATGATAAACTTCATTTAATTTATTTGGACGTAACTATAGAAACTTGGTTGTTTTTAAGGTAGTGAATTAAATGTAAATATTAAACAAATTTTTTTTCCTATTAAAATCCCTACATTATTTACAAATAATACTGTAGAAAATTAATTAATATATTTTTTAAATCTTCACAATAATTTTATACATATTGTTAAAAAATTTACTGGCAGAAAAAAATTAAAACTAATCTTTAAAGGAATATCAAATAATCTAAATATGTTTTGTTTGCCTTTTAAAATTTGTATAAAAACAACCTTATCACAATTCAGAACATATTACTATTAAGTATTGAAGAAAAATGTTCATCCTTTTTGACTACCTAAAAATAGGTTTAACATTTTCCCATTTTTCCTCATTCATACTTTAGATGATTAAACTTTTTGCCCGTTCACCATATATAAAGCTTAAATTTCATACATCAATTTGATAAATTAAAATAGATGTATAATTTATATATTTAATAATACAAACCTTTCTCTTTAAAAAGACAAGTAAAAAAATATAACACCACTGCTTTAACAGAATAAAGAACTTTTGATACTGACATTTCTCGTAATGATAAATTTGAGGATACTTTAAAAAGTATTGATGACAACATATGAGCAGACTCCATGTCTCCATAGTGACAAGACTCAATTATACATCTACATATTTTATCTAGTTGATTAATTACAGCAACAGATACTCCAAGTAATGATACACCATCAATTGAATTGCTTGATTCAAGACTGAACATTTAAATTAATAAAATATTATATATTGAATATTAATATATTGAAAAACTCAAAATTACAAAAATTAATTCTACCATAGTAAATTATAAATGTTATTCCAAACATTATTTAAAGAAATATCACTTTGAACTAAGGCATAAATGAGTCCACTTTCAAACTGTGTTATATTAGTACCAAATGATAAAACTTCTATAAGTGTTTCGATTTTAGTACTAGTATCACAATTGATTAACATATCTGCTATGCATAATGATAAACAGTCCTGGTCTTTAATTGCTAAAACAAAGCAGAGAAAAATTAATATTTCAGTTAAAAATATATATTTAATTAATTAATTACCAGCACAACATAACAATCTTGCTGCTGGTTGAGCTAATTCAACATTATCAGATATTAAATAAAGTTTTATAGTTTGAAGATTTACAACTACTGCTTTTAATACTGGAGGTGATGTTCTATTTGTTCTGGTTACCATTTCTAGTTCAGCTAAAAACTGGTCTAAAATATATTTAATAAAAAATAATTATAACACTGTAATTAGATTAAAATAAAAATCTGTTGATTAATGTAAATACCAAATAATAATTGAGTTCCAGTTTTAAGATTTATAAATTTTGAATTGTCACAGGCAATTAAATCAAACATTAGATTCAAAAAATACTTAATTCCCGTGTCAGAATTTATCAACACTTGAACAATAAGATCTAATAAATTACACTGATCATCAAAATAAATTTTCCAATGTGTACATAAAGGTGCTAGTTTATATAATACTTCAGGTGTAACTAAAAATAACACATCATGGTAAAATTAATACCTTCTCAGCTTCGCATTGAAGCTAAAAAAATTATAATTCATTAGTAATAATGAACAATCAATTTTATTAGAAAGTAATCAAAATAAGAATTAAAAATTAATTTTTTGAAAAAAATGGTCTTATTTGATCAAAAAGTTAATTTCAATGATTATAAAAATTAAAAAATGTAATCATGCCACCATTATTTATTTAAATTAAAACTCTATTTAAAATTAAAAAATATTTAATTCAAAAAGTTCCAAAAAATTGCCAATACATATTTGGAGAACTATGTTACCATTTTCAACGCTAAACACATATATGTATATTTTAAACAAATTTTTTATTTACTTACATTACTTAATATTACTTACATTGTTTTATACTCATAAATATTTGTCTTATTAACCTAATTTTCTTATTTTATAGAAGAAATATTTCAATATTCACTTAAAAAATGTCCACTAAGTTATTATGCAACATAGTAGACCTTTTAGTAAAAATATTTAGGGAAATATAGTTATTATTTAACTATTGTTCAATATATTTTAAATAATTGTTGATATTTATGTTTATATGCACAATTTGAAAATCTAGACCAGATTAGCCCTCCTAGTTCTGTAGTTTTCACTAAAAAAATAACAAAATTACAGATGAATTTATATAGAAATATTTTTTAGGATCAAAAATTAAGTTAAATTTCTCAAACATTTTGTTTAAGCTGTTCCAATTTTTATGGATCTACACAATAGATTGCCTTGGGTATTGAACTTCCTGACATAAAAACCAAGATAATATTTCTTATTTTGGCAAATTTACTCATAATAAATACTGATTAATAATTTTTATTTTACTATTTAATATAAAAGTCTGAAATGGACCCATAAAATTCTTAGAGTTTTTCACTTTATAATGTGTATTGTTGCTACTTAAGTGATTAAGTTCTTCTTAAATTTTTCATAGACTATTTAAGAGGTAGCAATTGTTAATGAAAGTCAATTTGAATTATTAACTGTGTTTTAAAATATTTATTATGTTACAATATTTTCCTATTTTATAATGATTATTTAGAAAAAGGCCAAGCAACTATTTAATATATATTTCATACTCTACAAAGGTAAAGTATAAAAAAAGATAAATAGTGGTCAGATTTTGTATGCAAATATTGAAATTTTACTTTAGTTTTTATAAAGGAATGAATAGGATCATTACTATAAATCAAGTTTTCACATAAAGTTGACTTAAGTAGAGTAGAAGAACATCTTGATAAGTATAAAAGAAAAGGTACTATTGTTATTTTCTCGGCATTCAATTTTTGTAAATCTTCACTTATACTTAACTAAAAAAATTAAGTACATTTAAATATATAATTTTAGTATTGAAAATTTGTTAATTAGAGTTCAATAATTATACATACTTTAAATATTTCTAAAACAACTTCTTTAATAATGCTGGAATATGCTATTGATAGATGATCAAGAATTCTGATGAATGAATTCAATTTTTCTGTCTAAGAAAAATTTTATTGAAAATTTTGCTTAATATATTAAATATAAATAACTAAACTTACATGTTTAAACTTTTTTGTAGTACACATTTCTTTAACACTATACATCAGCATATACTTAACTATTAAAGAAGGAAAACTTTCTCCGATTTGAGCCAATACCCATTCAAAACTAGAACTTTTATAGCCTAACATTGTTTCTAAAAGTAATAAATTTATACATTAAAAAAAATATACATTTGATTCTGTATTCATACCTATCATACAGCTAACCGAATGTTCACCTTCTTCAGAAAGCATTTTAGCAATTGTTCTGTTATTTATATCTACTAATATACATGCTACTGAACACTGTGACCAAAATCTCAACATATCACCTAATGGCATTCTTGCAAACTCATGCACATTGTAGTGTTTAGAAACTTTTCCTAGTAAATAACTATTTTATTAAATATTGTAAAAAATATATTTTACTTATAAAATGAAATTTTATAATTTAATAAATGTTGAAAATAATTTTTATTTTTCATACAATCATTTGTAATGTTTAAATTTTATAATTATTGTTTACCAGAGTTAATAGTTTAGACATATCAAATATATTAAGCTTTAGACAGATTTCAAAAAAAGTGAGCAAAATAAGACACATTAAAAACACTAAAAATTGTATATAAAATATGCATGAATGGTTTATTATAAGAAAATAAATATTCTTAAAAATTAAAATAGCTCAATTTTTGAATCAGTTACTTCTATAATAATAATATTCAATATTGATATTAATAATAAAACAGCTCACATAATGTCACAGATTCAAATTTAATGACAAAGGTGTTTTTTTTTACATATTTTTCTTAATTTTTTTAAAAGTATTTCATATAATTATAAAATTTAGAAATTATTCATTAATTTTTAAATTTATATTAATATGAACTTATTTTATAAGAAATTAATGTTTTTTCTGATATTTGAATATAAAATTATCAATTTATCAATCTTTGATAGTAGACTTTTTCAGGGGTCATATATATATATATACTAGTTTATTTAGGTATATACACAGGTATATGAGAGTGCAATGAAAAAATTAGAGGATTACATATTTCCAGCAAGAAACATGTTCCCTCCCTCCCTTGCCACTACCTACAACATATGATGCACTTTAAGAACCACTTTTGGAGAATCACTTATTTTCCAAAGTAGCATTTTCCATCTCTTGTCTCTTCAATATAGAGGAGGCACCCACCCTTTATACTGTATAAGACAAAAAAAGAACCAGTTTTTTTTTATATCACATATTTTCAGGAGGAACTTGTCTTTCTTGCTCTTATCTCTAATTATCACCCATTCATAAACTATTGGTATACAAGTTAAGACAAGTGAAAGAGGAAGAAAAATCAAGCTCAATAGAAGAAAGTAACCATTTACTTGTCTCTACACATTGCCATGGCAAAGCTGGTTTGACCTACCGCAAAGGATGTTTTACATCAAATTAGAATTGTTTTCCAAACTTACAGATTTTTTTTACATACCTAATAACTTATAAGACCAATGTAAAACTACTGGACACCAAATAGAATGATTTTCTTCAACAAGCTTTAAAAGAGCATCTCTAATACTTGTAACATTTTCAATTACTTCTTGTGGTATAACTGGTGGATCATGTCTAGATGACATACTTGCAGACTCAACCCATGAAGGCTAAATCAGATAAAATGTGATGAAAGCGATAAGTTATCAAAAGAATAAGGCATAAATTAAAAATAAAAGTAACAATAAAAAAAATTTGGAAATGGACTGACCAACCTGAACTTTTAGTTGTTTTAAGTAAGTAGAAATTGCATAATCGAAAAATTTTCCATAATATTCTAGCACAGCATCTAGAGCTGCTGGAAGTATTTTGAGAAGTTCCATTGAATGGTTTATTTGATCAGTTTGAACATTGGTAAAAGGTTGTTTTGTTTCATTTAAAAATTCAGATAATTTTGAAAACTGATCTTCCTGATGTTTTTTCATTATAATAATTTTTAAATATGTATATAAATTTGAGAGTAAAATTAAAAAATTAAATACTCGAAAGTTATTACTAAACTTTGTAAGAAAATTGTTTTATTATAAATACTACAACTCTATTTTATATACATAAATATTAATACAATAATTCACAGTTTTAAATAAAAATAATAACATAACTCTTCCTATGTATTAAAGTTTTTGTTTTTATTTACTTTTAAAATAAAAACATAGCCATTATATGGAATATCATAAATGTCAAAAAGTTAGCAATACATTATATGTAGCAATTTCTTATCAGATATAAGCAATAGTTATCGCCCGGTTTTCATCTAAATATTGAACCGCCAACCACTAGATGACGCTGCTTATTCTACATAACACATTGAATTGTATTAAATATAATATTTCAGAATTTTTGAGACACAATGTATTCTATTAATGTGTGATAAGTGTATACTTATATTAAGTATAAGGCTTTTATAGACAAAATTTCATGCCATTTTTAATAATATATAAAAATACTAAAAGAGCCGTGTTACGGAACGTTGTCAGAATTGAATAAATGTAAACTAAAGTATAACGAGAGTATCTCACGCAGTACACAAGTATAAAATGTTGGTTAGGTTGCAATTCTGGTCCCTTTAGTATTATATAGCATTAAAAATTGTATGAAATTTCACGTTATTTATTTATTTTTTTTTTGTGTTTGTTACTACTTTTTCTCGGTTCGTACTGGACTAGTTTTTCTTGACGTACGTCAAAAGATCACAAATCTAAACAAATCAGATCTAGTTGAAGACATTACCCTCGAAAATTAACAATTTTTCCCACGTTCCCATAAAAGGTGGAAATACCCAAAAAATTACGATTTTTAAAATCGGTCAACTTTTACATTTCTTTATTTAAACTGCCATAAATTATTAAAAAATTAACAAATTAAAATAATTTTTTTTTTTATTAGAACAGAATTTCCCTTTTTATTTTTGATATAATTTTTTTGAAAATCTGACACTTTTGTATATAGGGAGAGGAATCAAAATATAATATTTATATCCCTTTTTCATTCAACATACTGTATCTTAATCAGGATATAAATAAGGAAATAGAAGATCATGTAGCTTTTTGAATAATCCATCAATTTTTTGAAATTAAACACTATCAAAAGATTTGCATCGAAGCGTTTTTTATGATAGTGATTTTAATTACTGTCAGATATCATTATACTTGATCCAACTATGCAACATAACCACTGTGCCGCAACACCCCTCCTGTGCTGGGTTTTTTTTATTTTGATAATTTCTAATTAGAAACACTAAAAAAAAATTTTTTATAAAGTTATTGTTGATTTTTAATATGTTAAAAATAACACAAACACAAAGAATGACAGTACATATAAGATGTTTCAAAATGTCAAAGTTATGGTTGCTTATTTTTTTGTCCAAATACCATCAGCATATCTTCCAACGTAAAATAGTCAATAAATAATATACCCAGATGGAAAGGATAGACCAAAATGCCTTTGTAAAAAAATACATAATTATGCTACTGCTTATGTGAGATACACTATCAGTTTTGATGAATATTAAAGAATGAGGAGATAATAAAAAAAAGATTATCTCAAAGATTCATCATTGCATCAATCCAACAATAGTCACCGATGTGTAGAGTGTGGAGATCCAAAGGAACAATAAAATTAACTAACTTTAACAAGGTATATAAAATAAAATACAATTTTGGATTTTTTGAAAAGCCTATTCAACTTTTTAATATCTTATTTTGATTTAATTAAGAATTAAAAAAAAAACAATTATGACAAATGGGTAATAGTGATAGTCAATTTTTTTTAAAAATTATCATTGATGTATCAGTTGAAACTAAGAGAACCAAAGGTGTATTTAAAAAAAAATAATTATTAAGTAAATTTAATATAAAATTAAAGCAACAAAAGGTAAAAAGAAGAAAATTGTATAAAATTATTATTTAATAATTTATTATCACATCTCAAAAATTAAAAACAATTTTACTCAGGTAATAATTTTGTACTTTTTTTTTTTTTTTATCACATTTGTTTTATTTAGAGTAAAATTAAACTATTATTTACAATTTTGTAAAAAAATGAAAGATATTACTTCTGTAACATCATTCACTATAAATATTTTAGTCAGCCTACCATAGTAAAATTTTCAAGTCAATCACACAGAATTGACACTGGTAGTGAATAATAGTACTAGTAATAGTTCTGCATTAGCAAATAATACTACTGGAAAACCATCTATAATATTTATAATCAATGGTTTTATCCTTCATAAGTAACAGACCACATAGTAGGTAGATATTTTGGTTTCATTGTATCAACAAAATGTTGTCGCCACATTGCCTTCATTTCATTAAGTGTACCTCGCTCCATAAAGTATTTTACCACTTTTTCAGCTGCCTTATTATGTTCTAAATTACAATCATATCTTGAAAAACATATATTTAAAATAATATTAGTATTGACATTTTTTATAAAAAAAATATATTTAATATTTAAACATTATTAAATCTATCTATTCCCACAAAACCTATTATCTGCTAAAATATAATTTTACAAACTTTCAAAAAAAAAAATAATAATAATTTTTATCAATAGATTTTAATGAACATTGCTATTATATGATTTAACAGATAAACTAGTATAAATATGCATAATATCATTTCATAATGTAAAATTTTCAAATAAAATTTCATATATTATGAAAATCATAAAATATCAGATAATAGTTTTACACAATATAGATTACTTACTTTAGGGATTTTATGTTCAGCAAATAACCTAGAAATGTGTCTGATAAAAGATCTGCTCTTATTTTATAAATTTCAGCTACTTCTTGTTTCAATTTTTTAGAAATATTTTCTGGAATTTTACTATGTGATTTTAACAATGTTTTGGCCAAGTGTTTAGAACGCATTATTTTAGTATACATGGGAATCTTAAGTAAACAAATATAAAGTTATTAAAATAAACTTGTATTAAATATATTTTAAATATTCAAATATTTTAATAATATATTACCATACTATATTTTTTTGAATTTATTTCAACCACATTACACTTTTGAAACAATCTATTACGTATTTCAAAGTCAAACGTATTTGCCTTAACATGGCACCAATAGCATAACAATAATGTATCATGTGGTATGTGACTTTTATACTCAGCTGTAACAAAAAGTAATATATACACTATAAAAAAATTGGATAAAATATATTTTTAGACTGTGTTATACATACTAGGCATATGTCGGATAAATTCTTTAGGTATAATACTTTTTTTTCTAAAATGTTCAGTGCGGCCACAAACAGTACATATATTATGCCGAAATAAAACAGAAAATGCATCTTTTTTATGTTTAATATCAGCTGGAAAGTTAAGTCTTATGGTTCTAGGATTTTCATTAACTAATTTAGCTAATCCTTGACTAATATACCTGTAAAAAGGCACTATACATTAATTAAAACAAATTAAATGAAAGAATTGTAAAAACCCTATAATAACAAATAAAAATGGACAATTCTATATCATTTGAAAATAATTATTCCTATAACTCACCAGAGGAAACTTCTATACCTAAATTAATAATACTTTTCTTCCTTAAAATTTAGTCCTTTTTATTTGTGTGAATGAAAAATCAGAATAATGAAAAAATTTTAGTTTTGTCATTACTCTTGCTAAAAGATTATGTAAAATACATACCAATCAACTTTTTTATGACTGCAAGTAGACATAATATTGCCATCAAAATTTTCCATTAAGCAATTGTCATAGACCAATGATGCTTTAATTGTTGATGTAGAAAATGAGCGAATATTTGGTTTTGGTTTTATTTTTATACCATTAGATTTGTTATTTTTAAATGGTAAATTTTTATACTTCTCATATTTTTCAATAAAAGAATTCCATTTTTTCTTATTGGACCAATAAAACCAAAACTGCCATGGAATCTATTTAATTCAATTAATAAAATAATTTAATTTTACTTTGGATAAATAAATTAAGTAACTTACTATTTTATTTCTAAGTTGTTCAAATATTTTTACAGCAACATAAGCATCTAATGCCGCATATTGAATTTGTCGTTCAGTCAATATTTCTGTTTCCCAATAGCTGGCTCTTACTCGCCAATCTTTATCTAATTCACAACCAAGTAATTTATATGAAAGAGCTGCCAAACTCCTTTCAATAAGACCACAATCTTTTGCTATGTACCTTAAATCAATGTACCCAGAAATTTCAATATTATAGTCATTCATTAAAAGTTGAGCATCATCTGAAATAGCTACACCAACTTTTAACACTTGTCCATTATTTAAAAGTTTCTACAAAAAACAACATAGATTCATTAGAACATCAATAAGCAAAAATAAATATACATTTTATAGCTTACTTTCAGTGTAGGGGATATTGTTTTTAACTTATATAACCGAATCAATGAACACATTCCATCATAATCGGCAATTTGAAGAATAGCTATTGGTCGTCGAATTTCATTTTCAGTCACCCACTCGCAATCGAGTCCTAGGATTGGTACGTTTTTGCAAGACCTGAAAATGAATATATGAATTCCTCAAAATTAATTAAAAAAATTAAAACCTAACAACAAAACAATTACTTTTCCAAATTTGTTGCTATTTTTTCACACTCATCAATTGAATCAATTATATTAATTTGACGAGTGCGTAACATTACAAATGATTTTAAAAAAGGAATTTTCGAACATATCTTGATCATTATCAATTTTAGGTAGGAAAAGGACATGTTTTTCACAAATCCTTAAAACAGGAATATATTTTTTTAATTGTTATCAGTATCTGTTATCTTATCACAGATTAAGTAAAATAAACTTAAGTGTGTTCTATTTATATTAAAATCTTAGCATCGTACATAAGAATCTATAAATATTAAAATAATGCCATTGCTTCTGAATAATCGTTTTTTAAAACACTATTTCGGAAGTTATTGACATTTTTAAATATAACTATATAAGAATGAAGAGTGCGACCTAGTAATGTCTGATAATAAATAATATACTACCGTCGTACCTTCAGTCTATATTAGTTTCAATGCAAAGCTGAGAAGGTATTATTAATTTTACCATGATGTAATTTTTTTTTTTTGTGTGTGTCTGTTACCACTTTTTCTCAGCTCTTACCAAACCGATTTCTTTTAACGATACGTCAAAAGATCACAAATTGTATCTAGTCGAAGACATTACTTTCAAAAACTGAAAAAAATTTCCCTCGTTCCACGTAAATAGGAGAAATCTTTAAAAATTTACAATTTTAAAATTATTTAAATTTCATCATATGACCATCACCCCTGGATACTTTAACTGTGTGGTTTCATCTAAATTTAATATAATGGTTAAGAACATTAGTTTTAAAATCAAAAATATTTTTCCTTCAACTTATTATTTTTTCCATCCTAAAATAAGTATGCTTTTTAAATTCTTTCTTCTTTTTCCTGCCCTTAATCCCAACTACTTGGGATCGACAACCATTATCCTAAACTTCCACTCGACATGATCTCCCACATCATCTATGCTCACATCAGCCGTCTTCATATCGCATTCAATAACATCCTTCCATCTCTTTTTTGGTCATCCTCTACTTCTTCTTCCTTAAACATTAATTTCTATAACTGTACTTACAGCTTCCGATTTCTCTCTCCTCACAACATAAACAAATCATCTAAGTCTATTTTCTCTCATCTTATCCACGATTACACCCAACCCAACACGACTACACCTATACTCCCTCTTATATGCTCGTTCCTTATCCTATCTTCTCTAGTCACTCCACTCATCCATCTAAGCATTCTCATCTCTACTATTCTCATTCTCTACTCTACTTTCTTGTCAATTGCCCAACACTCTGAACCATACATCATAGCTGGCCTTATTACAGTCTTGTAGAATTTACCTTTTAGCCTCATTGGAATTATTTTATTGCATAAGACACCAACCAGGTGCTTCTCTCCATTTCAATCACTTGCACTTAATTCTATGTCAATAACTTCGCATTTTACACAATTGATCCTAAATATTTAAAACTTTCCACCTCTCCATTCACGTCCTCGCCTATTGTCACTGGTCTTTTTATTTTACTTATCTTGTGTTCTCATTTGTTAAACTTGTATTTTATATACTTAGTCATACTCCAACTTATTCTTAATCCCTTTCCTCTAAAAGCTAATATCCATATCTCTATGCTTTTTAAATTCTTTAAGATTTTTTTTAAAAAATAATATGGCATCAGTGTCCAGTATTGTTGGAAACTCGGAAACTATGAAAGAAATTTGCTTGCTGATTGAGAATAGAAGACAGGTTTCTTGCTATCTGAGTAAGAATTTTCCACTAAGCTATTCAGCGGCCATACTAATTCACGAGTGTCATAAGTGGTTAATAACATTATTAGCTTCGTTTACCATCCTTCTGTCATTACATAAGTAAAAATGTTTTATCCTCTTCAATAAAAGTCAATTCCAGCACATTTGAATTGAATACATACAATTTTTAAAATTTTCATATAAAATGCTGTTCATTTCAGCATGTCATTCTAGCTTCTTTCTAAAATAAGTCGACTTTTTTAATAACCAATTTAAAGCTTTTACGTTACTTTAATACACATATAATAGCGTTAAGTACCTGTCTGTTAGTTGGTAAATTATTTCCGAGATTATTAACTAATATAAGATAATTCTCATATTATTTTCGCAAATTTATTTGGTTTATGTTAATATACTCCTGATTATTAATGTATATTATTACAATAAAATACAATTACTGATTATTATAATTAACACTGACTATTCATATCGGTAGTAGTAGATAGTTCTCATAGTAGAACATGGTGAATTTTTTTTTTTTAATATCGTTGTACACTTCAAAAGCTTTAATTAGATATAGGTTTTAAGTGGTCAAATATTCCGGAACATTTTCTAAAATTAAGAGAAAAAGATTTTTATATGCGTGGGTGGTCTCTTAAAGTACTTAGATTTTTTATGAATAGTTTATAAAAATAAAGCTTTATGTGTTTAGTATACATTATTAAAATTTAATTAAGATCAGTGCAATTAAAAAAAAATTTGAAAATGGAATTTTTTATGGTAGTATAATTTTGAGATATTTTTTAAAATTCCTAAAATCGAGAAAATTTTTCAAATTTTTAGAGTAGAGGGGTTCAAACTAAATTAAAATCTATTTTTTTTAGTGCATAAATCAACAAAATCGGTCCAGTGAAAGCTATGAATTTTTATGTGCAAACATAAAAAACGGTAGCACAGTGGGGTCGAGGCACAGTGTAGACGAGGCATAGATAGGACAAGTATAGATGATATCTGACAGTGATTAAAATCACGATCATAAGAAACGCTTCGATGCAAATCTGTAGATAGTGTTTCATTTATAGAAATTGGTGGATTATTCCAAAAGCAACATCAACTCTTATTTCTTTGATTATATCCT